TAATAATTTTTTCCTTTGAACAATCTATCCTCCAGCAGTCAGTATCACAGCTAGTACATAGCTTCCGTCCGAGTGGTGGTCCAGTGAAGAAAATTCGACTCGATACGAAGACGAAAAGCCCACATCGAGAGCATTAATGATGGTTCACTCTCGACTTCATGATCATGGGCTCTGAGGTGGACGAAGACGTCAAGGCGTTAGTCGAATAAAAGTTTTATAATAACCTCGTGTAAGCTGAACGATCTAGACATTTATCGATTATTCACACCGATATGAAGTGAAAGTTTGCACAGTTAATTATATGGCTAGCGTTACATAAAATACATCCAGGCTTTGAAGAAGCTAAAGTCGCTGAGTCGTCAGCCATCTATTTACGCCAAAAAAATCGGTACCAACCACGCATCAGATCAAAAACTACAGATCTTAGGAAGTAACTCTGCTTTTTTGGGCGTTTTTCAGTAAATACTTTAGGTTGACAAGTAGTTGTTCTTAGTAGAATATCAAGCTCGAAATCACATAGATCCTGTGATGTCTGTCAAATCTGGCAAAATTTTTTAGATTGTCATATTTCCGCGCGTGTGGTGCAGTGGTCGGAGCGCCCTGCAACACACACGTTGAATCGATCACCGCGCCCATGGCCCACCAAGCCTTCTATCCCTCTGGGATCGGCAAATTGGTACCAGACTTGTCTAGGAGGATAGCAGCACTGGCTTGATACATCGGTAGGCCATCGCGAGTCATTGTAAAGGCCAGATTGCATTCGGTCACCTCCAAACGATGCTTGATGAAATCAAATTCGTGACACATCTCTCAGGGATTGATCAGCGCCGAGAGAGTTTTATCCTTTATCTTTATTTTTTATTGTATTTCGGATACTGTTTTTCTACCAGTGCTTAATTTCATAGATCTAATCAGCATTTTTCCGCCGAAGAACTTTCTGTAAGAGAAAAACATTTGTCCTTCGAATGCCGTTGTTGCTCATAAAATTTACAAAGTACTAGAGGTATTAATGACATTGTTGTAAATTTTCGAATGTCAAACATTAGAGCAGCAGACGAACGTCGGACGAGTTATGAAAAGGTTTATTATGAATAAAAACGAGGACAACTCATGCATGGACCACCAAACAAACTGTGAACGAAATTTGTTCGAAACGATAACAAAGACAACTGATATGAAGACCATCGAAAAAACGAAGCGTTTATTTCGAGTCCGAAGAGCGACCGTAGTCAGAGTTACTAGTCATCATTATATGTGGCTCGTTGACCTCTTGTGAGTCAGCTGTTCAGCATTCATTGTGTGATGAGAGATGAAAATAACGCATTCGTTCGATTTACGCTTTTTGTCTGTCTCACCAGATCAATAACACACAGTTTTGATCCTTGATTTACGGAGTACTGTAATTTTGAAAGATAGAGGGAAAAGAAACCACTGAGGAAGAAAACTAGTCAAAATAAGCAAATTTAACGGAAAAACTACTGTTTACCGTCCGTTAATTATTCTTCTCTATCTGCAATGGATCAGTTATATCGCTAGTATCAGTGGAAGTTCAATGTTAATTAGGAGGGAATACCGCTATCCTCACATTCTCTTACTATTCATCTAATCTCGCTATTTATCCGTCATCGCCGATAAAGTTGTCCAGTGTCTCTCCTTAGCCCTAGGGAGACCCGGAGTATCATATTTTTTTCGTACGACACACTTTATTTCTAATGTTTAGGTAGATAATGTCTATCTACAAAAGGAATGGCCTGGCCTTTCATGAGTGGATAGATGGGGAACTTTTTTCGCTGGGATGATCATGAGGTATTAGTGGGAAATTGGTGGTAAATGTGATCGCAGAATTTGTCATGTGATCTCGATTCTCAACAGGGCAACAGGAAGTAAAAGTCACTCGTAGAGTTGGTGATGTTATCGAAAATGTTGGAAAGAAGCGATTAAATCTCATCTATATTCGAGCAGGTGCCTGTTATCAGTTGTTTGAAAAAGTACATTGAAGCGACGGATTTCCCTCCTACATCGTTGACTTGAATTCTCATGGCTATGACGTATGTGAGGGTGCTTGGAGAGGACGATTGTACTTTATCACCTATGTCGCCGATGCTCCACGTGTCTTGAGCCGATATATCTTCCAAGGAAGGGTTTTTCTTGTGGTGATCTGATTACACAAACAATTCACCATTCAACATCGCGATTGATGAGAAAGAAAACGACGAGTTTATAGTCCAATGACAAGGTTAATAGAAAGTCGATCCTGGGAACCATTCACTGTTTGAGTTCTCTACACGTTAGAACTTGTACATCTTCAAATACGATTCTTCACATATACCATCACTTCTGCTTCTTCAAAAAGTAGTGTTGGTGTTCTTGAACCAGTTGTTCGTATTTTACTGGTATACGGCTTCTCTGTGGAACGGTTGTTATCTAATATTTAGAAATTCTACTAGCTAAAGACAGCACTTCTTTCATAGTGTGGTACCGGTTCTCATCCAGCTATTGCTCGCAATCAAGATCTCTACGACGTGTTGTATGTTACAGGCGCACAGAGTCGAACTTCACTGTCATCCACCAATGATTTTCATTATTTGAAGCAATAAAGAACAAAGGATATAGCCTTCGCGTTGATCAAACTCTTAGTGGTGCACTATGAATCTGGATCCATTCGTATCATCGCTGAGCTGATTGAATGCATATCTGCCCTATACACTGTTTTGCGGTGATCTACCGATACATCAAGTCAGTGCTGCAATCTTCACATGCCAGTCTAGCCCCAATTTCCTCACCTCGTAAGGGGTAGAGAGCTTGGTGAGCTCACGAAGCGAGATGGAACAATCGACCAAGTGTGTGTACAGGGCACGTCTAACCACGGCTATATGCTCCTTCAGAAAGAAGAGTAGAGCTGGTTGACTCATTACTGACAGTATGGGTCTCACGTGGCTCATAGGCTTGTGTGTACTATGATCTTTGAGTTTTAACCAACACCTACTATGATCAGCATTTATATTTAACGCCATATTGTGTCTCAACTTTCTTACTTACCGTGACTCATCCTGTTGTTGTCTAACCACCTACGCTTCGTGCACAATGTGTGCAACCCAGTGCCGGGCCACCTGTGCATGTTATTTGAAAATTAGCTCCTAGGTGTTAAAAACCTTTAAAAACATCATAATCTTACTTCATGTGCTAAAGAACAGCCCTGGTACAGCGAGGTTACCGTACTCTGCTGATAGCCAGCCATAAGGTCACATGGCGGTGGCCCCGCCCCGTCCCTTTATAAATCGAGGTCATTGGCAGTTGCTTCACTCATCACATACGAGATGTTCCTTCGGTTGGTGTGTTTGACAGTACTATTCGTTCCAACGTGGACAAATGTCGATGGGAATGAAAGGTAACTTCGACTTTGTTCTAATGGTAGCAACTCAGCAGTTTTTTGATATAGAAATTGCGCATAACCTCCGTGATCTGTGGATCAGCTTTCATTTCTATACTTAGTAAACTTCCTCAGTAATGTTTCTGTATGATTTATCGTCACTAGATATAGTACTTGCAGCTTGGTTGTATCGTAGGTGTTAACGAACTAAATCGAAGGCTATGCACAGTAGATATCACACACATTCGTAAATCGATTGCAGTTGTGATGATCGATAATCCAGGGACGTTGTAGTACATCATCATATAAATCGGTATTAGATACTTATTACTGCAGCTGGAATCTTTTTCGGCTAGATGTCATTTTCAGACAACTAACTTTAACCTCCACTACCCTTTCTTTCAAATTTTCCAGTTCACACTTGGTATTTATATTCTAATAGTGATACCAAGACTACCAGCTGTCGGTTTCCTGCTTTTCATTTTCGTAACAGTTGTCCACAGTATTTTTCATTCTTGTCTTAACCCACAACTTCTCGTGAAGCATGATCAATCGATGTTTAGCACTGCGTACGTTCACATCAACTACGATATTGCAAAGCTTTTTCTTCTATTCTGCACTACCCGTCTTTCACATCTATTGTGCTGATCTCAGCGCTTTTTGGTTTCTGATCCATAATCCACAAAGATCTCCTAGCTTTTGCGTGAAGGTTCGGCTATTGCTCAAGGATTTTTGTCTTCGGTTTGAATGTTGTTGAATGCTGGTCCAAGTCGATTCTCCATGGTATCCTACCATAACCGCGCTAGCGCGTTCTCATGTGGATTAGAGGCTTGGTAAACCCGAGACCAGTCGTCAGTAAAAGAAATTCATGACAGATTGTTCTCAGTTATGTTTGAGACCAACTATTCGTAGAATGTTATTTTACTCTAGCACATAGTTGGCCCATATTTCTTGATTTTGAAATGAGAAAAGTCACGAATCGATTTTCTTGCTCAATCGTAGTCTACCAGCTTGGCGGAGATTATGATCCATACATTACACACAAACTACGTGAAATGGAAAAAGAAGGAACTAAGCCAAGTAAACTTGATCACAAAGATGAGATAAATTCGTGGTCACGTGTGCTCAAAATTAACTGATATTGATCGAGCGATAAGAATGAGATAGCTAACTAATCAACTTTCAGAAGAGATCAGGTGTTTAATGCACCCAAACAGAAATCGTTGCGCAATAGAATTACTGAAGCTCTCGAGAAGTGGGAGGAGTTCAAAGATGAATATGGTAATGAGTTTTGCAGTTATCTGTTATCACTGTCTATCAGTGAAAATAACCGCTAACTTCCAGTGCTTTTAGGGAAAGAGTTGTTTTCTTTTCATTATTCAAAGCTCAAGTTTTTGTTTCACATTGTAGATTGCCGTAGTTTTACCTTCAGTACTTGTTACTAGGGTTACGCAATAGTTGGCAGCCGGTCTTTGATGAATTTTCGAAACTTATGGGATTTCTACTCATTCATGCTGAGCTAGTTACCTGATGACCGATCGTTTGAAATAAATTTTCTGGGTTCTAGGCTTCCTAAGAAGTTCTTTTTTTCCAAGTTTTGATGTTCTTCCGGAATACTAGCATGTAACAGAAGGAATACGTTGTAGACAAGTCCTATGATCCTGAAAAGGAGGGCGATTTTATGGAGGCGTTCGTGAAAAACTTGATCCATATTGAAGAGCATAATCGTGAGCATCGTTTGGGCAAAAGAACATTCGAGATGGGATTGAATCATCTAGCTGATCTTGTATGTTTGTTTGTTTTTTAGGCACACATTCACAAGACTTTCTACAGAATGTATAGTTTTGTATATTTTTAGCCGTTCTCAGAATACCGTAAGCTAAACGGTTACATTCATCGTCGATCATTCGGTGATTCCATGCAGAAAAATGGGACAAAGTTTTTGATCCCTTTCAACGTTAAGGTAATTGAATCACTTTTAATCAAAGGGGTCCAATGTGCGTGTTTAGTTTGACCCGACTTTAATATCTGCATTGAGACAGAATTATTTGTGCTCCTAGCACATTTTCAATCTATTCAGTATAATACTGATCTAGCGAAATTCCTTGGGGCATCTATCAACGTGTGATAGGCGGTTCTAGGGCGTCCCAGGACGTCATAAGATGTTCTAGATTGGCACCACAGGCAGTCGGCGAACGTTGCTGGTAAAAGCGAGATTTTTCACTTTACGACCAGGTTTAGCCTAGGTCATCAGCTAATTCTGATCTCTTATGGATGGACTTTCAAATAGAAGTGCTAGACTGCTTATATCTGATAGCTCTGATAGGAGGATGATCAGTATCCGGTCTCCGGGATGCCCTCCCTCAGTCGCCATTTGCGGAAAGCCGCTAGGAAATGTGTAATGTTTACCGGACTTATCTCAAATATAACCGGTCACCAGTAGAAGTCTTGGCAGTAGATATCGCGGTGGCGATAACAAATTTTTAACACTTAGGATGATGTTGAAGGGAGCGTGTGGCGCAGTGTTCGGAGGCGCCCTGCAACACACGTGGAATCGATCCCAGCGCCTACGGCCTACCAAACCTTCCATACTTCCGGGGTCGGCAAATTGCTGCCAGGCTTGTCTGGGAGAGTAGCAGCGCTGGTTCAATGCATCGCTAATCCACCACGTAAAGGCCAGATATGCATTCAATCACCTCCAACGATGCTTAATGAAGTCGAATGCATGGCGCATCCTTCAAGGATTGATCAGCACCTAGAGCTTTATCCTTTTATCCTTTTTGAGATGATTCCATAGGAATAATAATTCTGTAGGCAGATGGAGTTTTAATAGAGGAGACAGTATGAAAGATGGAGAAAGGTTGCAGGTGCCAGATACAGTGGATTGGCGTGAACATAACCTTGTTACTCCAGTGAAAAACCAAGGAATGTGTGGTTCTTGCTGGGCTTTCTCTTCCACTGGAGCTCTTGAAGGACAACACTTTCGTGCTTCTGGAAAACTAGTAAGATTAGCGTGGTATTCTATGAGGAAAACAGATTTTCCAGTTTGTCAACTACATTGTAGGTCTCATTGTCTGAGCAAAACTTGGTGGACTGTTCAACAAAATTCGGCAATCACGGGTGTAACGGGGGTCTCATGGACTTCGCTTTCGAATACATTAAGGAAAACCACGGCATAGACACTGAAGAAAGCTATCCTTATGTTGGAAGAGTGAGTTGCTTATACAAAAACGGGGATTCATAGAGAAAGAATGTGACTATTATCTTTAGCAAATGAAATGTCGCTTCAAAAAGAGTGACATTGGAGCTGACGACAAGGGATTCGTAGATCTTCCTGAAGGAGACGAAGAGGCCTTGAAGGTTCATACGCTTTTAATTGTTCATTTCTAATACCTCGATATCGTTGTTCTTCAATAATTATACATGTAATTCGTTAGCACTAATTTTAGGTCGCTGTTGCCACCCAAGGTCCCATTTCTGTTGCCATTGATGCTGGTCATCGAACATTTCAGCTATACAAAAAGGGTAAGTAGTAATCCCTTCTTTATTTTTTCATTTTTCACATTGCACGGTGCTGTTATGTGTGTCTAAGTGGCTTGTAGTAGCAGGCCGTCTTTATCTTATCTCGACTTGTCAGTCTTAATGTTTTGAGGGCAGCTAATTTTTATCAATGTTAACGTTCCCCGTTGACATGAGATAGAAGGAAAGAGTGTTAATGCAAACAAGAATTTAACTATCACTAGTCTTCTCATATTTCAGTAATGATTTTTTGTATCACCTTTACTAAGTTATTATCTGAAGGTGTCTATTACGACAAAAATTGTTCGTCCGAGGAACTAGATCATGGTGTTCTTCTCGTCGGTTACGGCACAGATCCTGAAGCTGGCGATTACTGGCTTATTAAGAACAGGTATTGTTTCTACAGTTTCCTGTGAGTTTTTTCAGCACACTACATATATATATATATATATATATTTATAAGCTAATTATTTTTACAGCTGGGGAACTCAGTGGGGAGAGCACGGCTACATCCGTATTGCTCGTAATCGCGACAATCACTGTGGTGTAGCTTCGAAGGCCAGTTATCCTCTTGTTTAGGAATATCTGGTTTTATTCAACCAATAGTGGTTGCTGACCAACTAACCTAGAACATTTTGTCTGTGTATTGCTTTAATAATGCTTCATTTTGTGTTCTTTCTGTTTACACGGCTCAATGTATATAGAAATCTCCGTGAAACATGTTTTTTTTTTCAATGAAGTGTTTTTTTCGTTATCACACCTTTCGACTTTAAACTGTTCATCTTTGCTCATGATGCGCTTCTTTGCTTGATACGAGGGCACTAAATATATTTTGTTAACTATGCTTCGGATTTAGATATTCTATGACGTAGAAACCTCCCAACGGTGTACCCCTTGATCGTAGATGGGAGGTGTTCCTGTATGTCGGGCTGCGATGTATAGCGGGGGATTCATTCTCCTGGCAGTGTCTCCCGAGATGAGAAGGAGTCCTGCGCTTCCATCAGGAGGCCCAGCTAAGAGTAATCCAATATTAGGATCTGTTACCGCCATGGTACCAAACTAGTCGCATGGTGGCAAATCTCGCTCTGATCCACAACGGCGGAGACTGCCTCTGGTGGGGACGATTAGGGGCACACTTTGGCCTAGCTGACCTCGGGCCTCCAGGGAACCGCAATGGCCAAGCGAATAAAACTCCGAAAAAGTGGGATTATGTTGGGCCCGCACAACCACTGTGGACTGGTCATTCAGATATCCAAGTAGATTCGACGTAGAAATGTAGTCTTGTGGTTAGTTCTTCAAAGATATTTGTTATTGACTCGGATATCTTCATTTGCCAAAAGATGGAACAGGCAGAACATCACACAGTAAGACACGATGGTGGGCCTAAGTACATCACTGATATTGGCGATTGATATGCTTAGGATGGTGGATTCGTAGAAGTTTTGTAGGTTCTTGAATTCCGAATTACTCTAGTTATGAGAAAACGTTCGAAATTTTATTGAGGTTATCACCTCTAGCAAGAGATTGAGGATGGGAGTTACTAAAATATGCTTGGGTGAGGGAAGTTAACGTTGCTGCGAAACAATGGCTGTAACATCCATCTTAAGTTTACAAATAGTTAAGCTAAGTAATGATGAATGCTGTCCAGAGAGGTAGTCTGCCTCGTTCATGGTGATCTCTGAGTACAATTTTATCTTTTTATTTATATGATTCGGCTTCACATATTGTGCCGGTTTCAACACTTCTTTCATTACATTCGTTCTCTAGTATCTGGCATCAACGGACGTCTTCGAGTTTACTTGTGGATCCGGTTACCACTCATTTACCACATAAGGATGTTGTTTTTTCCATATGAATGTCACTGGATGCTAGACGAGTAGTTTAACTTTTAAAACCACGATTAACCTTCTTCACCACAGAGGTAGTAGCTAGCTTTTATGAGGTGGAAATACGCCCTCCCAGATCTGACACTAAGTTGCCGATGTCAGAGGATCGAGAAATCCAGTTGGCCTAGAGAGGAGTCGTACGTGCATTACTACACTGCATCTCTACTCACTGCGCTTCTGAACACCATTCGATAGAAAGTAATTCGTGTAGAATTGTCTGGGAATGGTGTACATGAGCTCACTACGATTTTCATACCCTTCTGAGATCCACTGCTTCCCAGGATCGCCTTTCTATTAACCTCGGCATTGGAATGTGGATGCGTCGTTTTCTTGGTCAGTAATCGCGAGGTTTTTAAACAGCATACATTTACTTCCATAGAAAAATACAATACAATACAACAGTGGCTGACGTTTCGGTAGGATCCGAAGAAGGCGATACTGCCGAAACGTCAGCTACTGTTGTACTGTATTGTGTTTTTCTATGGAAGTAAATGCATACTGTATAACGACCTCGCAATTGCTGACCAAGAAAACGATGCATCCACTGCTTCGTTCTTTTCGGACATCTACCAACTTTTATCATGGTCGCTTGGTTTGGATACTTCGGCTGCTCATCATCATGAGTACTGTAGCACTCATCAGATTTTGTGCCCTTTTGCGTTATGGTCGTCCACCATGACGGTCTGCTTCGAATATGGTGTTTAATATAAGTACCATCTGATAATGTATAAAGTACCTGTAGCTTCGAATTCACCTGAATCCATTTCAGCTACAAACAGTTCAAGCGATTTTCTTGGTGTTCGTTAACTGATCCTTCGCCAAATATGACGTTGACATTTCAAAAACCGATCGCCATCTAACTTCGATATGAGTAATCGATTTTTTAAAGACTACAAAGCTAATATTAAGTTGATATAGAGGTTTTATTCGGGCAATGTTTCGACGTCTTCGTTTTCTTTAGAACCTGATTGGTACAAGTCGGTGGACCCTCGGTGGTCGTCCTCTCGATGTGGGCGTTCGTTGTCATATCCAGGTTTTAAAATAACACGATGGTCTACTCTCGGGAATTAATCTTACCTATGAAAACTTTTGTTGCTTGGATTTAAGCAATGTTTTTACGACATCTGTTATCATAGAAGAACATAACAAACCTTGGATATAACGAAAACAACTGAATATTGATGGCGTCTAAAAACGAAGATTCTTTATTAAAGAAAGTGCATTCAGAAGAGGACTGAGTTTCCCGCTTACATTGTTACCGTATGCAGTAACAATATTGTACGTTTGCAGTATATACTATCATTAGAGAAGAGTACAAAAAATGTTCATAGTAGCTAACATTTTTAGCAGAAAACAAATTGGACGAAGAGCACGATTTGAATCGCAACGTGGTAGAGACCAAAAATGGGAAATCAAACAAAAACGTAGATGACGAATAAACTTTGGTTATACTGTATTTGTTAAGAAAAGCTTAGCATACTGCATTTAACGAATGATATTACAACCATGGTGTGTGTAAGTATATGTTTGTCAGTTTAAAAATGTCGATGGAGAGTGAGAGAAATCCCCCAGGATTTCTGGATTGAAGTCTCTACCAAGGCGTTCTCTTAGAAAGGATGATGTACCACACCACTCCTAAGTGATACCACAACGGATCTTTAAGACAAACTACTACATTGGTGAAAAAATCGCGCTTATCTCTTCATTTAATATGTGGAAAAAAACAATATGCTACCGGTACAGACGAGCAGTCATAAACGTCAGATTCAAGTTTGTAGTTTTGGCACGCTTGTTTTTCTCCATTTCTTGAATTTATTGAAGAGACAGGTCGGTGAAATTGTCGAACATTTCCCTGAAAGCAACACATACCCCCGCCTTTTAGAAACACTGTAGGTGAATGACGTTACTAGTTTGGTCGGAGATTAGTGCCGACAGTTTGAAAAATAACTGGTATCTAATCCCAGAATGATCTTAAGCGACTTATAACCGATCTGTAGAATATAAGCTTGCCTCAAGGCTATTAGAGCGTCCCAGTTCGTAAACAAAAGCGATAAAAAGAATGAGCAAACATTGAGGTCCAATAAACGCTATATATTCGAGAGATTTTCTTCTATGGAACACGGGCTGTTTGAATTGTCGAAGAAGCTTGGCCATCTCCACTCTACTATCGAAGAACGCCTAAACGTGCTTCAGCGGCAAAGAAACTTGTAGACAACCTGATAGATAAGGGTTAGGCGCTCAATCACGGCAACATGAGTCGCGTCTTGTGGTTCCTTCTATGAGTTAAAAACAGCTGCTAGTAACTACTGCTATAGAAGCATAAGACAAATGCAAACGCCCTACAAACCGATTCCGGAAGCTGGTTGATGATGTGAGAGGGAAGCGAACAAGATGAGACCAAGTTTTTCTGGTCACTGACCGTAGATACCTGCGAACAATTTCACACTCTAGGCGACTCCTCAAGGAGCAGCCGAACGCACACAAAAAGTTTGAGAGCCTTAGTGGATGTTGGGTGCGAAAACTAACCGGATGTAGGAAGTTCTGGTATCCGCACAATATGATACATGTGACATTGGGTCAAACAATAATAACTAAAAATTCTACCTCTTCTTTTATCGACACCATAGAAAGGGGATTATTTCCTCGTTGTCTGACTGTGGACCACAAATTTCATCCACTGGTGCTCATTTAAATATCGTTTGGGTAAAAAATTTTCCTGAGAACAACGATATAAAATAAAGTAACAGCACCTGCATCAGTGTCCTCTGGTACTGTCTTCTTTTTTCTCTGTGAGTAACGACGAATCGCAGCATGAAAATCGTCTTCCATACAAGGTGATGGCTAAATCTTATAGACTAGGAATGAAGTTGAGCCAGCTTATACAAAGTAAACTATTGTCAAAATATCGTAATTTGAACCACCGATTAACGAAAGGCCATAAGAATGGGTTTCGGAAAGCAGAGCATTGAATTAAGCGTTGAATCCATGAGCGTATAGCGTAGTAGCTAGAGACGCTCCGCGTTACCCACATGTTTTTTGGTACGATACCGTGACTAGGGTTAACGAAGCCCACCATTACTCCGGGGTTGAAAAGTTGGCATCAAGTTTATGCGGGAGGACTAAAACACTGACTTGATGGCCACGTAAGGTCACCATTTATGCCAAATGTGCATCTAGTCATCTTGACGATGGTGGGAATTGAGCCAAATGCATGACAGATAACTCAGCAGTTGATCGGTGCCAAATGATTTGTCTCTATTTTTCTCTTTATATAAAAGCAGAAAAGTGGGCTATTCAACTAAACCCCTCTTTAACTCTACGCAGTCTATAAAAAACGGTTTCGAGTCTATTATTTCAAGAAAGGAAGAGAACAAAGAAATACAAAATCGACACGAATAAAGCGCTTACCTTCTCAATTAATGTACTCGTAGTGTACGCCTCTTTCAGTTCGGCTACGAGGCTTACTAGAAGATCGTCTACGTCGTGGTCGAGAGCAACAGAGATCTCAAGATGCTCGAAACCGAACTGCATTGATGCGGCTCGTACTTCTGAAAATCAAAATTGTTAGTTAGTATTGTTAAGAAGTAAACTACTAGACAGAATAAATCTTATTGGTTAACGGTCTTTCTATTTAGCACGTTGTTTCCGGTTTTTTGTGACAACAAAAATGTTCAGCGCGGAATCCCAGCTTCCTTATGTTTTCATAGATGTCATTTAGAAACCGTTTTATCATATAGAAGAAACATAACTAACTCAAACAATCAGGTATGTTAAATAAGCAAATAGTGAACAGAATAAATCTTAACAATGTGATTTCAACTATATACTCAGCTTAACTGGGTTCAATGCAGATTTGGGCTACACAGACAGATCAATCCTCTATACAGGTGATTGCTGATGGGACTGATCGATAGAATCAGCTGAGAGACATGTGGAACCAAGTACACGCATGGTGTGGTAATGAACGCATTACTCCCCGAAAAGGACAACAGCGCACTCGTTACCTACCTCAGACACCTGCGGTCCGGAGTTTTGCAAAAATCTCAGCAACATTACGGTTGTAAGCAAATAGTTTTTGATTGCATAAAATTTTCATCTAGTAGAATATAAGTGTAAAAGTTGTTCGTTTCAACACGATGAAATTTTATGTCAGATTTTTCATTTTTACCTCTCCTAGCTTGTCCTCCCTATGATAGTGTGCCATTCTTGTGCGCTATTTGCTAAGAATATGCTTATACCTGCAGCTTTGACTAAATCCTATCAAGAAATGCCTAAGTGACCGAAGTGTGAGTGAGCACAAGTGTTGCTTTTGAAATTGACATTACCATTTTTCGTTACTGTTCTTTTCCGTTCGAGATCCGCTTTGTTACCGGCGACGAGGATAGGTGAGTTTTTGAGGGACGGCGATTCTTTTATCATCTGAAATTCTTCTTTTTTCTCAGTTTAATAAATCTTGACGATCATTATTTCAGACATCTCACCAATAATTTGACTTCTAATCTTGGCTGAAGAGTATTCCTACATTTCAGACTTCGATGTATAGTGGAGAGTTTATCCCCTCAACAAGTTCAAGAAATCTTTTAGGAGATGTCTAGCATTTCAAACCGAAAAACTTTTAACCATGGCTGAGAACAACCCCATTCCAAGAATCGACATTGATCCATAACATCCTCTTCTAACATTGGCAAAATACTGCCCAATCATAAAGGCTGGCTGGTGCCATTGGTGGCTGGAAACGATCTAGCAAAACTACCTCAATACTTCAGAAAACAGACAAATAACTCAAGCAGTATACCAGATGATCTAAAGAGCCGCTCCTAATTCAATATCAGGTGCCGATAAAATCAGAGAGAGCCAATAAAATCTCAGATTGCACAGGATGTCGGTGGAACACAGTCCACACTAAACGTGCATGAGATATAATGTAGACCTTTCATGCTCTGGGTTCCTTCAACACAAATATCGTTTCCTTGAACGTCTCCCTTCACAGTGGTGATGTCGAAAGTAGAATTCTAGTTCACGACACGCCTTTTACACGGAAATTCATTTGTCAACATGAATGAAAATGACATGAGAATCCCCTAACGGCGCCATTCATCTGGAGCTCTATCACACCCTCACAAACAAAAACGCTGTCTGCTTGAAACATGTGTAATGTCATTATTCTGCACTAGATCCCATCACTGCCTACATTTTGCACTGGATCCTATTACTGTTTACCTGTAAGCTGGAAAAGAACCGTCATTGAATACTAAGAAAAAGACGAGTGTCTAACCAAGAAATTCTTGCCCTAATCTTTTACCATCGTTGGTAGCAGAGTGAGAACTACTAAGTAAAAGAGCTACTTAACGGAGAACTTAAGAGACGATCCAAGTGAGAATCAGTTCTTCAACCAAGAAGTTTGCTGCGAAGAAATCTATGATGAAACTTTACCCGAATTCAACACGTCCAACACTAGTGAGAAATTCTAGCCGCAGATTTCTGTAGAACATATTACTACGGTACACTAAGAGAAAAGAAAGGCCCAGAAGTGTCTAGGAAAAGCACCAGACTAGAGAGAAAACTAAAACAAAAGCTATGTCGATGTAACGGTCCACTATCAGAGATGATGAACGAAAATGAGAATGTCATCAACTTCCGTCACAATACGGTATGACATAACAGAAATCGCACAGCTGGTCACTTGCTAAGGAGTTAATTTCTTCTCGATTCTCGAATACGGCTTTTGAAACTTTAGACTCTCACCTCGATTGCAGTAATAGCCTGTTTCCAGCTTCGTCTTGAGTCAATGCTGTAAACGACGACAAACGCATCCATTTCCCCTGGTATCCATGACGGATCTAACTGTAAATACAATAGCTTAAGTTCGTTTAAGTTTAAAGTCGATAAAATAGGTTTAATTGCTGAGAGAAGTTATTAGGGACTTGAAAATCCCGCAGGCATTTGAACCCTCACAATGTTTACACAAAAGCTTAAATTTTTCAATGCTGTAAACGTGGTCCAAGTTATTTTACTTTGTAATTTAATAATATAAATAGCATCTCCTATTTCGCTTCTTCTTGAGAAGCGAGTGGGCGTTAGTAACGCAGTGATCTGAGGTGCTGTGCGAAAAATGCCGTTGGTTCGATCACACGCTACGGCTATACCGAACCTACTACCCAACGGGAGTCAGGTATTAGACATGTCTGGGAAGGCAAAAGCATTAAAATGATGCATCGATAAATCTCTTAAATAGGTCATTGATAAGTCGAATATGCGTTTAACCCCTCCCCGATGCTTCGAATGTAATCGGATCTATAAGCGCCTTCAATGGATTATTAACAAGCGCCAAGTATTTTATGACAGGCATTTGTCATGTATTGAAATACACAGTGCCCTACAGAATCACCATAATTTTCGCATTGCGGATGTTATCTTTTCATAAAGCCTAACATAAGCCAGATGGAGCATGTGCTGAGTGATGGATAATTTCACAACTAAGTGTGAAAAGCTCTTCCGGTGATGCAAAATAACACGATATTCATGAGAAATGGACGTATTCCAGATGCTTCATTCACTGTCAACAGCATGAAAATCTGTGAACATTCCACCCATATCCATGTGTGTTGGGAAGTCAGTTTGATAAACAGCTTAAAGCCAGGGCTGAACAAGATCGAACCACTACCTTGTCCAAGAGCATCGAGTTGGTGGTAAAGAAAAACAGAAAAAATCTGGTTTCGCGATCATCTGATCGATTGCATGGTTCAAACCTCCCTCGCGTGCACGTCTAAAAGCTGGGCATTATAGAAGGAGGATCGAAATGCAATCAGTATTCTCTGCACTAAGAGTATCTCATTTCACTCAAAGGAAACAAGGAATCTTGTGTTCAAATGTCATGAGCCTCAGGTAACAATTGCTTAACCGATGTCGTCAGCCACTAAATTCTACGGTATGTCAACGGCGCAACTGTTCGATCACCACCGATGGTCATAATGGTTCAGGAAGTTCCTGAAAGAGCTAGGAAATACTCAAAGTGTCCTCTGATGCAGGATGAACGACTGAAAACGTTAGACATACGAATGATATTATGACACCAAAGCCGTCTGCTTGGATTACAAGAGGACAAGTGACGGTAGCCAATTAGACTTTATTAGTCCAGTTCAACTAGAGATTTGCGTGGAACGAATGTGAAACGATTAAGAAATGATAAGGCAAATGTTCCAGGATAAAGGAAACTAATCAGTCAGTTAAATCGGTCAATCAGAGAGAGTCAAGTCAGTGTTTTGTTTAATTCCTCTGTCTGATTTTATTCCCTTTAGAAGACTCAAGCAAACGCAGTTTTCTTTAGATGCCCATAGTAGATTACTCATCCACCTAGTGGCGTAGAGGAGTAAAAATTTTTTCACAAAGATAAGTTGTTTTTTCTAGGTTTATTTGACCTCTTTTCTTTGCTTTAATGTTGACTCTAGCATTTTATAAATAAAATGATCATAGTGGATTATATTTCTATGCGGGTCTAAGGTGAAAATTTTCCTTATAAAATGAAGGAAAAACTATAATGACCTTAAGAAGTAGGACGAAAGAAACTTGCTTAAAAACATTTTAACGCTACGAGCTAAAATCTGCTTAGAAACTATTTAGTCCTAAAAGCAAAAAAGTAAAAGAACTCTCATGAACACAAACTAACGACAATGTCTCTAACTAAATTTTCACTTTCGCTTTCAATGGCCTTCGTACGGTGCTATTTGGAAGATTTTAGACGTTTTTAATTGCAAGGGTTACGGTAGCATCCGAGAAGTAACGAAAAGAGAAACACATAACTTCTTCAAATAAATTTACCTTAACTAATCGTAATCAACTTGCCTAAGTTATGTTCATACCAGGATTCCGATTCTGCTTGGAGATAACTCAGTTGTATTTCTGACTTTATACAAACGTTTAATAAATACAAACTAAAACTGCGTTTTTTCACCAACTCTTCCGCCTTCAAGAGCATAAGTCTACCTCTTTATGAAAGCTTTTACTCATTCTTTTAGTAGAACTTAATTGTAAATAGAATAGTAACATTCCGAGATATACTCCACATGTGCGGCTTATAGTATCTGTGTGTAATAGACGGAAGTTATATATGAGTAGTCCCGTTCAGATAAACAGTTGGCTCGAGTGAACACTACGATCAACTCAGGAAGTAACACAAACGTCGTGAAAACGGACATCAGAATAGTTGATATCTTAAAGATGTATACTGAATTGCTCCACAATAACATAAAAACATGGTGAAATTGTGGAAAGTAAGGGTTAGATGTTAATGGATCGTTTAGGAGTGCACATTGCATTTGGCTCAATTCGTAGCATCGTTAAGGTTTCGGGGAGCTATTGATGCATTATTAGGAGTTCATATCCTTCCATACAGCCATGGCACCAGTTTACCGACTCTAGAATAGTAGACGACATGGTTAGGAAGGGTGTGGGGTCGAACCAGACACTATTTATTGCATCGCGGAACATCTCTAATCACTGCGCTACACTAACCCGGTAACAAAATAAGATACATGGAAAAAATTGGATATGTGATACCCTGCGCCAATAATAAGCTACTATTAATGTTTTTCAGTGGCCTGTTCATTTAATATCTATTGTGTTTTAATTTATACAAGTATAACAGAAATCGAAAACTAGAAATGAAATCCATACCAATAATTAAAGATACTTGAAAAATATCGTTAAGAGCTTTAGCTCTTAAATAGGAAACGATCATTTATTTATACGATTTAAGTACATAGCATTATATTTCTACGGAGTAGTCAACATCATACATCATACAAGCATGATGTGATTATCAATGGATATCAGTGATATCAAAAATACAACTTCTATTCGATACTTTTTTACTCAGAAAAAACGTTGCAATAATAAGAAAAATTATTTAAAAAAACTAAAATATTATGATAGAAAATATTGTGTTCGGAAAAGCTGCAAAATCTTTCATGCATGGATTTCAATTCAAAAGAGTGAATTCATTGCTCATTTAGGATAGGAAATCCCACAGTGTTTATTTATGAACTTTTCCTAAACATTTTGTCCACGTAGGACAGTTCCTCCATAGAAACACCTATTATTGTAGCTTTTCACTTACTTTCTTCTGTTTTATACAAAAGACATTGTTGCTTTTATCGCACCTCATCTAATGTCGTTGTTTCATAAGATATCAACGTACCATATCACTCTCGAAGAATATCAAATCCAATTCATGTCCTCCAATACAGATTGATACCGTATTCTCGTAGTCTTCTAAAAAAATCCTTTTTCTTTCTGGTGCAAAGTAGGATAGGGACAACGTAAATGCGACAAAGATTTGGTACTAATTTACAATATTAACCCCTTATTTTTCTGCCTACTTTAATTTTTTCACGTCAGGATATTATGTGAAATTCAACCACAATGATGCCGAGATATTCGCAAAACTCCGGACCACGGGTGTCTGCGGCGGGTGTCGAACACGCTGTAACTCTTTCCGGTGGGTGACGTGTTCAGCACCACACCATGTGCGTCCTTCGTTTCACCTTTCTCCCAGATAGTTTTCTAACTGAAGGCGCCATAAGGTGCTAACTTATAATACTTGTATTAATTCTACCCTCCTATGTTACTAGTAATAAAGTTACTCAAAGGCCACAACAGACTTCGTCATTTGTTATCCACAGTTGATTTTTCCTCAACGACAAAGTGGGAGCTGGTCTCCACTATGTGACTCTAACACTAAGCTAGGAAAAAATTGAGGCAACTCTGGCGACCAACATGACGATAAGTTAGCGTTCTCACTTTCTCATAGAAGTGTAAGCCTTTTCGTTCCCACTCATACGAGTCCAGTCTTAATGTGCGATTCTGACGCCGTAAAAGGGATTGATGGAAAAATTCCGGTGATCAGTGTTCGAGTCATATGTTGAAGAGGCGGGATACAAATGACATAGATGACAGTAAAGACTCACGGATTTCATCGGCAAATGCATTTTTGTACTCAGAAGTGATCAACTGTCCAATAAGCGATGTTTTACCAGTGCCTGTATCTCCAACCACACCAATCTAAAAGCGACAAGGCTTTTTAAGAACATCTTTTTATAACAACTTCACACCATTTTACAACAGTGTTTGTCTCGTTCCAATAGAATTAGTCCTATAGATTAATAGAAACTCTTACCATAACTATCACCTATCATTTCTATCACTTTATCAAAATTATCGTTTGTTATTCATATTCAGGTAAATGAGTGCTATTTATATAAAGATTGAGCTTACAAAATCGTTATTCTAACGAGTGCTTATTGTCCCATATTGAATGGTGCAGTAATAAGCGGTAAGCAACTCTACCACGAGAATACCATCTCATTACCTCATACGAGGCTCAAAGCAAAAGTTTTCACATAGGTCTATCAACGTTTGAGAACTTGATATATCACCTTAGAATTGTTTCAAAAATAGCAAGCGTTCTCTCTAATTATCATGCTGGACAACTGTTCCTAGAAAACTTGAACGCGCTGATCTTCAAAGTTCTTCAATAAATAGCATTAAAGCGTGCTTATATGGAAAAGAGTAGAAGAGAAACATAATAGTAGATAGTTATCAGTTTGGGAAATGTTTTGAACAGTGACATGGCTCCAGAAATATGTGAACGCTCCGACTTCTTTAGCTCCCCTAGGCGAACATTAAACCTTCACAAGATCGATTCGAAATTGGTAAAATGTTCGAGAAACTAAACGATCTACCCCTTAAAAGAAACAAAATCACTGTAAAAAGCACCTTGTAGTTGTTGTGGCTGGTCGACGGATAGACGACCGTGTTGGCGGTATCGCGTCGTGACTCCACACTTGATGATACACTGTCGCTACGAGACTCACGTGTGGAGTCCGATCCAGAAACAATGTACGGGGACGGAGATTTGTCACCTATAAATGAAATGCTCAACAATGGAAGTTTGTCCATGCATAGAAATATCAACTACAATCTAATGAAAATTATTAGAATAAACTCAATAATATCAAAAGAAACGAAAATGCATTTGGCGTAGATCGATCCTTTACAGTTGTGCCATGCTATCGACCGCATTCCTGTAAATTTCTAGAGGTGGTGGAACACATATTAGGCCTATCCAAAAGCTTAAGGAAACGGCTAGCACAGTGGCAGTGATGCCGATCATAACGAGCGCGGTGGTGGTTGAATACCGCATCGGGTTCACCAACCCCATTATCACTCCGAGAACGGGGAATTGGTATAGTACTTGGTTGAGAAAAGCTTACTCTCTACAGTCGAAGTGTGAACGTTCTAGCCAAGCGATCTCAAGACTAGAGAGAATCGACACAACCAGCATTCAACGATATCCATAGTTTAGGGAAAATTCTCAAGCAGCAACCGAAACCACACGCAAAAAGTTGGAAGACCTTCGCGAATGATTGAGAAGAGGAAACGACTCGAATGAAAAATGTGCTGCGATCCGCATCGTATATGTTCAGTGATTTACGAAAACATGATGTAAAGTTGATCGAGCATATAACAACATCACGAGTTCTATGAAATCATGTGTTTTGTTCTAGTTCTAGTTGAGTTTGTTGAGTTCTATCTAACATCATGAGTTCTTTTCCTCTCTTTCTTCTGAGTTACAATGAATTCTTCTTCGGGAATCGAAATAAAGATGTCTAGAAACTACACAGATGATTTTTCTATCTCATAGAGATTCGTTGCCTTTTTAAAATATAAAGCGTTAAGCAGTGGTCGATTATAGCGATTTTTTTTAAGAAGCTATAATGACTGAGTGCCTATTTGACCTATGCACTGACTTCCAAGGACTTACCTTTGCATTAAGTTAGTGTTTTTATCCACCCAGACAAAGTCTGACACCAATCTTTCTTCTCCGGGGAATAGAGGATTTGATTTGCAAAGTGTTTGCAATCAACAATGATTTTTTCTCTCAACAGCTTTATCCTGCAGTCAAATTGTGATGTGCAGCGGGGGTTCACTTCTGAATGCGCGTAAGCTAAAAACATGTCCGACTTTTTCAACCGGAAACTCAGTTGAGAGTAAATCCATGACGCAGCACAGCCTTGAGCGCTATCCTTGGCTACCATCTGGACGAAAACAATAAAAAGGCGTCATGGAAAAAGTCTGAGGACATCTTGCCTTCAAACACGTGTAGCGTACTGAACAGTTCTGATGAATCACAAGAACGAATGGAGACTTCGTTGATGTTGGGTTTAGTTCTTCAGGGATAAGCGCACTCAGGTGCTCAGATGATGGATAAAAGTGTTGGCATTATTAAACAACAACAAAACTATTATTATTACTAATTGTTTTAATTATTAATTGCTTACTTTTCACACCGTCATCATTGTTCTTCCGTCTAAATGAATCTCCTCGTGATACCACAGCTCCTTTTTCATCAATTTTAAATTGACGCACTCTAAAAATCTGTGATTTGATAATAATTGACAAAAAAGATAAATATCTGGTCTTATAATTAAGTCTTGCCGTTTATACTCGTCGGATGACGGTAACTTAAGAAACTTCTCATCGAATTCTATGGCGGGTTTCGGTTCCGGCCAGACATCCTTGCGTACCTCTTGCGTTGTTCGTCTGAAAATGCAGACTTTTGTTCTACCCATTATTTTACTAGCAGATACCTTCAGCAGACGGCTTTTTTATAACCTCATGCTGTTCACTAATACTTTCACGTTTCACTAATACTCCACTCCTCCATAAGAATATGTCACGAAAATATTGTTTATCCCACGATCGACTCCGTGTTAATCTCGGTATTGATCGAACAATTCTTTATATTCTTGTTTAGCGAACATGAGGAGTTATTTTACTCTTTATTCCGGTAAAACCGACGTTTCGGCGGATTTCGCCTTCCTCAGAGCCTGGAAAGGTCAAGTTGACCGCGATATACCCAGCCAAACACTTCCATAACCAAACAGAGAAAATGCTAAACCAAGATTTCACATTGAACACAGAAATCTGCTTTCTATGAGTTTTCCACTAAATATCTCCTGTGGAAACAAACCGTACAGAGTTCACGTGGAAGCGTAATGTGGCTCTCTCACTAAAATAACAGTCCTAAACACTGTCCGATGTTGAAAACACCAGCGCGCAAAACTCTCGAGGCATTCTGGATCCATGGGTAGGAAACGCAGGGAGGAATGCGTCATGATCACGCATAATATCGGACAGTGTTTATCTAAACCTGTTATTCTAATGGAAAGGACACATTACACTTCCATGTGAACTCTATGCTGTTGTTTTTCATGTGACATTATTAATTGAAGACTCATTGTGAGGAAGCTACTCTGTGTCTAATTTGATTGAAAACTTGGCTTAGCATTTTCTCTGTTTGGTTATGGAAGTGTTTGGGTGGATAGATTGCGGTCATCTTGACCTCTCCAGGCTCTGAGGAAGGCGAAATCCGCTGAAACGTCAGCCTTGCCGGAATAAGGAGTAAAATAACAACTCGTGTTTGCTCAAAACAATATAAACAATTATTTGATCAATGTCGAGATCAATAGAAAGTCGGCTGTAGGAAACTACTGCCTTTGTTTTGAAAATCAATACTTTTTTGTAACTATAACGAGTTGCGTAATCTCTGCGTTAAAATATTGACGTGGATGCGATCAGATTGCAAATGAACTTCAACGGAACACATGGACAAAGGTCTACTCAACTTATAGGAAACCGAACATCAGCATCAGTTAACGTCAAGTCTCCACTGCCAGGTGAGGAAACTGTATCATGGATCGATTTTCTATGTGCTTACAGTGAAGTGCTTAGCAGTTATTTTACAAAGGGTTCGTGTACATTGTGCATTCCACTAGGAGAACACACCTCCGATACTTAAGAATGTCGAGTTTCACAAAGAATAGCACGACGAGAATGAATCAAAAAATTGATGGTTTAAAGAATTTAACCCAAAACCATTAAACAAAAAAGTTTATTCTACTAGTGAACCAATTTCGTTTTAAAGAGTTCTCTATCTTACAAGTTTGATTCTGAGCGTGAATGTGCGACAAAAATTCCAGGTGGTCGGATCAGTCAAATTGAAGTGTTCAACGCTTTCATTCCAGAAGTTCAACCTAGAGCAAGTTTATGCTAATAGGAGGTCTTGCGAGGTATACATTGGCAGTTTTCGTCAAAAACGGCAGGAAAAATGCATGACGCGAGAAAAGTGATGGATTTTGTGTAGTGTCGACAAGAGAAGCTCATTGATGACAGTTCTGCTTTCTACGACACATGGAGTTCCAAGGTGCTAGTTCGATCCCATCGCTATCACTCTCCTCCAATCCACGTGGGAATGATTTAGCATGGCTATTTCCAAGATTGCAAGAACGATCAACTTTGCCAGCATTCGATGACATTCATAAAGAAGAGGAAATCCTCCAGCGGCAGCCGAAAACACCATGCAAAAATTTGAAGACCTTCGTGGATGATGAATGAGAGAAAAATGAATCGAATGCAAGTCACTACTATATTTACTACTAGTATTACTTCTCATTCCTCCCTAAGGTTTACCGCGTCATCGTGGCTGGGAGGTGTTCCTGGGTGTTGGACTGCAGCGGGGGATTCGCATCCCCGGCAGGGTCTCCCAAGCTGAGAAGGAGTCTGGCGTTTACATCAGGAAGCCTAGCTAAGAGTAAGCCAATACCAGGATCTACCACCATCCTGGTATTAAAGTCGCACGGTGGCAAATCTCTCTTTGATCCACAAAGGCTACGATTGCCTATGGTGGTGAGGACCTGGGGCAGACTTTGGCCAGGCTGACCTGAGGCTCCGAAAAATAGTGATTATGCTGGGGCCCGCACAACCAGTAAGGATGGGCCGTTCAAGTATCAAGTATAACTTCTCATTACAAAGGGAATCGCCGGAGACGAACCTCAATATGCTGTTATCAATTTGGCACCGACGTTAATGGTTTCGAATTTAACGATCATTGAAAACGTTGAGCTGTGAAAGAAATCCCTAAACACCAACACTCACCAATGCGTTCACACGGATACAAGTTAGCAACCTGTACCGCTTCCCCACAAATCCTTCTAAAGACCTTGTCTTAGTATCATACATTTCACTTCATTCTCTTTCCTCCTACACCATTCATCTTTGTTTAACATTATTTGGAATGATATCATGATTTGAGTAATTAAATGTTCTTTTCACTTTTATATCAGACCACACCTTCTCGAAATTGTTGGTGTACTTCGTCGTCGTTCATGTGGTACGTCTTCGATGGCCGCCTTCTTCGAATCGGCTCCCGGACGTGCTCGATACTTGAACGACTGTGATCTCAGCGGCTGTTGATTCATCGTAGGAGTCAGAAGAAAGCAGCTAAAAAATAAAAAACCTGGGATTGCCATGGAAGTTGAACGACACATTAAAATTGATAGAGCTGACGACTGGCAAAATATAAAATTAGTTAATTAATTTTTAGAGCAACAAAAATAAAACTGTATGCGATAAAACATGAAAGTGGACTAAAAGAAAACGTTCGCGTGGAAAACAGGCATATGGGTAAGTTATACCTGATGGGAAGGAAAAGGCTTAAAAATATTATTGTGATGTTAGAGGACGCAATGAACAATTCGGAGACACTGGACAGTGTCGACGAGATGAATAATATATGACTCATACGCGGGTAAAAATGATTTTTATTCTCAATTTTAAAAGAACGGAAGTCAATCAATTTCAAGCTCTAAAAGTCACTTGACTTTTGATGAAAAATCGAAGCGATCTACTGTAAATGTAGAGCATTTCATATGAATTTTCGCATAGATGGAGTTTTACAAATAAGAAATTAAGCTTATGTAAGTAGAACAGTTTTTCTTTTCGAAATAGAAATTTCGCATATACTGGGCATTCACTATCTTAATGCTGTTTGAACTGTTTGCTGTTTTCCCCTGAGTATTCATTGGATAATGAAGTCATTCGATTGAGACGAAAACGGGCTTACGCATTGATGGCTTACTATAACAGAATGTTCATTTTGCTGACGATATTGTCGTACCAAAGAGGAGTACAAGTGATGCAGAGATGATCCTGGAGAAACTCATTCAGGTGAGCAATCTCTAAATCAAGAGAAAACCCAGTTCATTAAAAAAAACCGTGGTACAAAAGTAATAAAACCTAACTTTGGATGGTTCTCTGACTACAGACATCCCATTCTACCGATATTGAGAATGTTCTGTGAAAGTGAAAGAGGACAAGATGGAGGAAACACATAGAGGAAGAACAGAAGCATGTGAGGAATTCGAAGCTGTCAGTGGAATCACCAAGATCAATTGACGGAGTCGAAATTTGCGTCCACGTTTTTGATTCAATAATCTTCTCAGCAATTTGTTATTCAGTTCTCACGGATGTTGACACTTCAGTCACGTCGAAAATTCTGCTTATTATCCACAGAGTGCTTGGATGTCTTCTGAATATAAACGGCACCCATATGATTGAGCCAGAACGGCTATGTCAAAACTTTAAGAGCAACCCCATCTTCGAGACTGGGTCGATGTGTCCTTTTCCTCATTGCTGAACTAACATTAAGTTGTTACAAAGAGCTATCGGACTAACATTTTGTCACCTTCATCTTCTTCGGAGGAACGAGTCGATTGTCTGTTTATTAATTCACTGGAGCCGAGGGGTGCTTCATTCCAGAATATTCGATCCGATGAAGACTCACATCGTGGGAACGACTGGCTATGGACTACTGCAACTCTGATATACGCGAAGGTGCGGAAGCTTTAACCGAGTGAGATTTTGCATTAAAAGTGAGGTGGCTTTCAAAGCTATAAAAAATTGACGACAGACTGATGAAGACAAAGGTAGAGTGGATATGAATCCCAGAAGATAGGCAGCTATAATCGTTGCTGACACGAGTCGGCACTAGAGTGATTTATAGGCAACGGAGTGATATTTCCATACTTAATCAATAGATGATCGCCATAAGTGAAAATGGCGAGGGAAGAAAACTAAAGGAGAATGCAATGAAGAGCGTACTACATATAGTGGACAGGCGTTCAAGTATTCAAGTACTATACATTCGAAAATACCTACACTAAGTGGACAGCTGGCTAACGAGTAGATTGCGAAAGTTTGTTGACTCGACTCTGGTCATAACTACTATTCACGACAGCTGTGGTTCGAATAGTTACGGTATTGGTATTAGAGTAGAACAACCAACGTCAGAAAAGTGCCAAATACAAATGACCAACCGCGATTGAGTATTTTATGAACGCGAAGAAGAAAAAGTCAAAAAAATGATATGCATCCAGGGTTATAGTCCATCTGCAGCGCTTTTTTTGGTTATGACAGAGACTTATATGTTGGTGATCTTAAGTAAAATTGACTGCTATAACGTTAAGAATATTTGGAGGATGGTGATAGGATAGGGTTAAAAACTAACTGGGGCACTGAACAATTGTGAAACGAGTGCAGATGAACGGCACAGAATGGCATCGGTATGTCAGATGATCATTGACTGCGGAACACCATCCTTCCATATGTTCAAGATTAGATATGTACTTTTCAATTCCTCAACATTTATGTGTATATTCAGTAATTTAGGCAGGAATGAATTTTTTAAGAAAATATGAGGGGCTTGGAAAGATCTCATGAAGAAACTAACGAGAAAAGCCTCGAAATGATTTTATCCAGAAACCAATAAAGAAGGTCTCGACATGGTTTCATAAACAGAGTAATAATATCTTTAATGCTGTCTATTAGGAATGCTCTACAGAGGGAGAGAGAAAGACAAAAAGAGAGAGTTGAAGAGGAATATAGTGTTATAGACGTCATCAATGACTACATTAACCTAATAAACATGAACCAGCAGAAATACTAGCACTATTTGCAAAACTCCGGACCGCAGGTGTCTGCGGTGGGGAACGAACGCACCAATAAAAAGTCATAAAAGCTCTCAATATGATGATCTATTACTTGTCATCACCACCCAATCATAATCATCTATTATCACTCATCTTTTAATTGAAAAAAATATCCAAAAGAAGGTCATCGCATGACCAATCAAAGCGATGTACCGGTAGGAAAGTAGTAAAGAACAAATTTGAAACAATCCTATTCGCAAGAAACGTAAAGTAGTCTAAAACATAAACGCATTTTGACCTGGGAGATTTTTAAATATATTTTGGCTAGAAAGAATAATGAATCTTGAAAAAGGTTTGCTCATCGTTACACAAGCCTGATTCGGTACAACTTAATGAATACTATGCGTATTGATTAGATCCTCTAAAAATGGTAGAGGCGCTGCTAAATAAAGAATTGTGAGAGCTGGTCACGCTGTTTACTATTACGCTGTGCCCTAAGTGCTTTTCCTACGGTTTCTGACCGCGTAATCTCAATGGGGTAACATTTTTTCCAAAATGAATTGGTTTCAAACGCGGATTTCGAAAGGTTGAGTATAATAAAAGAGGAAAACAATGAGCTGAAATGCAGAGAAAACATACAAATTCACCCGTTATATGGCGCGTGTAGTACAATGACTAGAGGTGTCCTGCAACAGACATACATATGTTACTGGTTCGACCACGCCCCACGGAAAACTAAGCCATGCAATCATATGTGGTCGGCAAACTGGTATCTAAGAGTTGCTTGGAAGGATAAAAACCGAATTAGTACGTCTATAGGCCACTGTAAGACATTGTATACGCCAAATATGGATTCAGATATTTCCACGTTGCTACGATGAATGGAGTTGAAGGCACGACGAATGCCTAAGGAATTCATTAAAGCTGAACGCTCTATCCTTTTTATTCTTACAGTTGTGCGGTTTCATAAGAAATTCGCCTACTTGAGTCGCTCTAATTTACTATTCAGAAATCTCTATAGCCGGCTTTCCATTAAGCTTCGCACTGATTTGCATGTTGTTACGTACATCTTGAGGCGACACGACTTCATTAAGATAACTTCAAATTCACAACAACTGTGCAGATGTTTCGACGTCGAAATCGGGATTTCGTCATCTTTCCCTCCAATCTAAAACGGTGATAAACTATGATAAAAACAAATCAGTTAGAGAAGAGGGCTGAGACTAGTCTGGCGTAAAAATGGAAATTGTGTTAAGGCTAGCACCATTTTCGTTACGAGAGCGGGGGGAGGGGAGGGGAGGTGGCGTGAAGAGAAAGAAGCCGGCATTTAAGTATTAACTGAATAAGAAGCATCGCGGTGTTCAGGCCTGGAATCGCTCACATTGTGACATGTACCTCACTGGAACAATTTTTTTCTCAGAAGCTCTAGCAGAAATACTGTAGAGCTAAATTTCCATTATTCGATAGGCGGCTTCACAAACATCAGCCGTTTTACTGACGAACATGTCAGCTGTGTCAATGTGACCCTCCTACGAAAGATCAAAATCTACTGGAAAGTCAACCACTATAAAATTTACGAGTGTACAAGTGAATTCCATGTGGCAAACTGGCTATGAATGGAACGACACCGATAAGTACGTATATTTAAGAAAATGATCATAAAGCAAGAAGACGAGAGGGAAAGTCGTATAAGAAATAAAGAACGTTCTACCAATATTCTCCTTTTGCACCGTTAGATGTCTTTGATCGGTAATTTTTACTTTACTTCATTATCACGAGATGTATGTAGCGCACTGGTTACAGGTGCCCTACACTACACAGGTCCTCTTTGTTCTATCCTTCGTCGCGGACTAAGCAAGCCTTCCATTCCTCTGGGGTTAGCAAATTCTACCGTACTTGTCTGGGAGGGTAGCACCACTAATTTGCTGCATTCGCAGGCTACCACAAGTCACTGTATGTTGTGAATGGAGTCGAATGCACAGCGAAATGCTCAGCGATTGGTTAACGCCGAGTGGTCTGGATAATATCTCCATAGTAATGAAACGAGTCATTAAAAACCAAGGCTGTGTGGAAACTTTAAGCATATTCTATGGAAACAAAATTTAGGAGCGAATCACTTGAGATCAAGAGAATACCCGAAAAAATTCGACATAGATATTTTTTCCGCTCTCAAAAACATAAGACAACGTAGTTCAAACATTAGGGTTACTCAATTTTTACCTGAAGAAGCAAAACGTATACAAAAACCGAACTAGTTAAAAATTCAATTTAATCGTTGTCTTCTGACATTTCTGGACATCCTGCAAAACGTCGCGAATTTTTCAAGATAAACGAAATAGACAGATTTTGTTATGCAGTGAAGACAGCTGACGTTAAAGCCTTTATATGCCGTCTAATGAAATCACCGACGACGCTGTCGTCATCGTCGCTGGTCGCTTCATCAACGTCAACGACTCCTGCAGCGATAAGCTGGACGTCAGCTGGTCAAATAG